TGAGCCTAGGGGCAAAGATGCCAACGAAAAAAAAATCAACTTGCAGAACAGGTCGCAGCCCGTGGGTTGTTGTATTGTAACAAATTTTGACTGTAAAAATGTCTCTGTGAAAGGATCAGATACTCAATACTTTATAACGTAGATTATTATTATAAATCTACTGGGAACGCTTGCGGGACCCAAACTCATGTTAGGTATTGTTGGTACTCAAGACCTCGCTCATTGGGGAACCCTAGGGCAGGTCTAGTATTAGGTAGGAACGCCTTCGGGGCCCTTACCTCGTTAATAAGGTACGAGAAAGTGAGGAAGCCTGCGGGGTCCCCACAGAAATTCCGAGCGGATAATCAGTGACAATTACTCATCACCAAGGAACGCCTTCGGGGTCCCCTCTTAGTATTTTCCTCATGTTCTAGGGAAATTTGCCTTGTTCCTCAGGAATCACCAGGCTGGTGATTTGTCAGGCCTACTAATGTTGAACAAAGACATGTTATTCGGATTCTTGAGTAAGCATACATAAATAGTCATTGACGGAAGTATTCTGGAGTCGCGTTTTGTTTGCACAACCGTTGGAGGGGTACAAGACTTCGCTGAGAGAGGAGAAGGCGTGTTATCAGGCTCAGTGGGGCCTGGTTATAAGTGCCCTTAGAAATCTGGATTTATTCTAGATGAGTCTTGTGATAAATATCGTTGAAAGTTGGAAGAGTCAATGCCTCACTGAGGTCCAGGGAGATTCAGCAAAGTTGAGGGGGATATTGGTTTATTAAAACTCATAGAAAGTTCGCTACAAATGGACGTACGCCAGCTTCAGTCCCGAACGCTATTGTGACTTGGGGTATGAGCTATCCCAGGGAAAGTACATCAACCTCGCTGATTCCAGTAAGGTGGAAACCCCTCCTCCCAAGTGCATCAGCTTAGAAAGTCCTCCAGATCCTGTGAAGGCTGACCTGCAAAAAGGCATACAAAGGACTCAGGGACAATCGCTAACTCGGAATCAGGCTTGCCTGGTGCGAAGGAGCTGGAAAGAATTGTCCGCAAAGTTTGTTGATAATTGAGCTGTGCAAGGTGCACACAAGATCAATAAACAGTTAGATGTCGAAGTATATGTGGATGATGTGCTGATATCCCTGGCAGCGTCCACAGTCCTGGGAGCAATACCCACGACTGGATTGGTGCGTTTGTGAATACCAACCAACTGGTTCAGTTTTGGAGAGCAGTTGGTGGGGCTTTAATGACTTTGCTCTGCGTCCATCTGTTCGCCTACGGCCCAATCTAGACAACGAGAATTGCGGGACTTACTCAAAGAGTGTGCAGATTGGTTTGGCGTGCCCATCAGTGCACAGAGAGTCGCTGCACTTGGCCAGTTTGGCTCGAGAGATCGCCCTAGAAAACGGCCAACTAGGTTTATTTTGGGATTATGAACGTGTAAAACGCGGTCAGATTAGGGAGGAAAATGGTGTTGCACCTGTCACGCCACAGCCTGTGACAGGTGTGATTTCTGTCCCAGTCGGAAGTCCCTATCACTTTCAGTGGATTTGTGCTTTTTTAGCTGGCCTGGCAGTAGGTTGATGTTTGTCATTAGGATCCCTTTGTCTGGGGATCTGGGCCGGACACATGTGTGCATCTTGACACACTCTTGCTGTTGAGCCACATCACACAAACGCAGGCATACATCATATCTCAGGACTGTTGTGTTATATTGGAAACCCGAACATTGGCCACTAGCTTGAAAGTACGCTGATCAAGATATATCAAGGGCCTATTGATATCTACCTAGTGATCAAGATATATCAAGACGCATCAAGTGCCGTTTGGGCATTCCGTTCCTGCGACGGTGTGGCGATTTGCAGAGAGGATGGTCGCAATTCTTTGGTTGACTGGCTGCAATCAAAGTTGGCATAGGATTTGACCTTGATTATTGCAATATTCTCTTTTGACATAATTGTTGCGAGAGTCTGGCCCATGTTATGTGATGTTGCTGTGGGATGACGGAAACTAAATTTCCTTGCTGTTCCTGGTAAAATTATAGCTGTGATATACACAGTGGAAGCCGGCTTGACACTGGATGCACATTGTACTATTGCAAAACCGTAACATTTATGGAGAGAGCCAACGGCTTTACACTGAAGCCTTGCTAAGCCCATAGATTTTTCCAAGCAGCTCAATTCCAACAACCACCCAGCCTCCACAGTCGCAATGCCCATACAATGAACAAAACTGTGAAGCAAGTGGATGATGACACCCCACAGCCGATCTCAGCTTTGACCATAGTAGCCTAACCAATTATTCCTTTCTGCCTCACAGCCGACCCTTGGCATTTATGCCAGTATCTTAATGCGATCCGGCGCTTGCAAATTTCGCACATGAGCACAAACGTGTTGCAGTCGCTTTCATGCCCACAAATGAACAGTACAGTCGATTTAACTGAATCACGTTTTCAAAGCAGTTTTCATATGCCAATCATCGGTCTTCAATCAGTTCCTGTCAGCTTTCACCATCTCAATTCAACAAATAACTGTTGCAAATTCCATGCAGCATTGTCTCCAAAGCTCTGCAGCATAGGTTACTAGTTTCATGACCTTCCTGAACACTCTGATCCTGCGTAGGCCCTTTGACGCCCATCTCCGTCCCAAATTTGCAGGGTATGGTGGAATACTGGTCATGCTCAAGGCACATCTACGCGCAGACGTTTCTGATCATGCCACTCATTCAACCAAATAGTGTTCATGTTTTGTCAAAGCGTGGCGGAAAAGCATCGTGAAGTTTCCATTGCTGTGTCCCCAACAAGAGATGCGACAATCGCCAGAGTGGGGATCGTTGAAAAAGACTTGGGAGTTCCTTCCAGTTGTCCAGTAACCTTTCTATTATTCTATCAGTGGCGGCAAGGTGAGAAAGAGTACAAAGTCCTCACTGACGTCCGTCAGTAGTTCAAATTTCCGCTATCGCCCAAACAGGGGCAAATCGCCGTACACGTGGCCCCCAGCAGGCGCGTGCCTGGGGGGCCCCAGCCTGGTCCATCGATCCCAGTGGAGCTTTGACTAAGCACGGCTTCTACGCCTCAAAGTCCATCATTTAATGTCAACGCACCGCGCTTGAGCATTCAATGCATTTCATTGTGCCAGGAACATAAAGCAAGAATTCCAAAAAATTTCAAAGTACAGCTTGCATGAGAAAGGCTCAATCTCCATCATTCCGCAGCATCCAGCTCCCACGCCCATGGTTATTGTTTCCCCCTACACCGAATTGGTGTTCCGGAGATTTTCGGAAATCACTGAGACTTCTCTGTGCTTCTCCTCCCCAGGAATAAATGAAGCAGTTCGGCTGTAAGCCAGCATTGTATCGACTCTTGATCATCTTTACTTGAAAACAAAACCGCAGCACTGCGCATGGCGTTCATGAATGCATCCACAATTTGCCGATAACCGATATGTATTGCACAATAGCAATACTCTGAGCCGATGCCTTTCCTGCAAGGAGCGCAGAATTTTCACGCTGTCGCTGAACGTGCCAAACATGGAGTCTCTGAATGGGTCACTTTCCCACCGACCACTAGGCGCTCGGGGGTTAGAGATGCCAGTGCTATTCAGATTGAACATGAAAGCAGCACTACTGAAGCTGTTGGGTGGCTAGGGTGGCAGTCACAGCGTGCAAATCGAAATGAGGAGCGTTACATGAATCGCCCACAAGGTATAGTTTTGGCATGCCAAAAGCGCCCAATTCTGGGTAGCGGCTGAATGGACTGCATAACCATACTTGGTCGCGGACAAGGCGGTTTCTCGGGGTTCGGAGCCTGAACTTTCCGAATCTGACATTGTATTTCACAATTAGCATTTTCGTCCGGTTGTAAATTGGAATCTTCAAAATGCGTCATCCAATTCGGGACAGAGGAATAGCCTATTTACACTCTCACGCCAAGTTTGGAGTTACCGTCGGACTTCTGGCGGATGCTGAGAGCGTTGTTGGCTTCAGAGGCGCACAGAGAGGCAGGCACCACTGATGATTAGGGGCAAAGCCGCGGCGGCTGTTCAGCAGAGTGACGTGAAATCATGAGACGTCCAGTAATGGCCGCGGCGTCGGTGTTCCGTGCGAGCGGGAGCTCTTCACCTATGCCCTCAGACAGTTCAACGCCCCGATTGCTGCCGCCACGCTCTGCGCAGACCTTGAGATGCCGCATCACTCCCATTAGCGCGTTTTCGTCCTGTTGTGTGAATGACTGTCAGATAATTACAAAGACATTGCTGTCCAATACACTTGTCCAATACATTGCAATACTTCACGGACCGCCTGATTATGGGTTTGGAGGACTGCGGCCGCCAATCATTCGCGTGTCAGGCATCATGTGTCCTTTGGTTGAAATTCACGATGTGTTTCGTCGATGAGACTACTGGTCTGGGGGATGGCATGGTTTTGATTCGTGCCGCACGGGAGATGGCGGTCTCTCCTTACAGACACATCACGACATCAATCCAACATCCCATCGCGGACTGTGCACATCAATGTCCTGCTCGCTGCAAAAAGACACTTGGAAGTCAGCCCAAGGGTCCTGTTTCCAAACGGATATCATGGCGCAACAAGGCATCGGCATCGCCAGGAAATAACAGTGTCTTACATCGGGCAGTGCCAACAATTCGCCCCCCTGCAGCCCACAGCCGCACCCCAGGGCTGACACACGAAAGTCCCAAGCCCAAAAACCAATGTTGCATCCTCTCGTTGAACCCAAAGAAAAGTACACACTTCAAAACGATCCTCCATGCATGCCTGGCGTCTCTCCAAAAATGCACTTCCAGTGCACGGCAACTAGCTGTCCCACTGCTCAGAGTGCATGTCAAGCACCAATTCCCGAGATAGACATCAGCTGCCAGTGTCAAATAGGCACATCAGCACCGGACACGACGGCACGATCAGATGGCCACGAAGGCCCAAGAGCACAGCTCGCAACCAAGCCGGATGAGCGCCAAGACTGTAGACAATGGGGAGATCGGAACCCCCCATCGTATGCTTGCTCACCCCCCAAGGGCGTTTGCCCCAGATACAATCTCCAGCAGCTCCTTGGTGATCACTGCCTGGCGCGCCTTGTTGTACTGGATGCTCAACGCCTTCTTCAGTTCAGCGGCGTTGTCGCTGGCCGAGTTCATCGCGTTCATACGAGCCGCCAGCTCTGAGGCCAGGGCCTCCTGCAGGGCCCTGGGGAGGCAGGAAACACGTCGTTTGACAACAGTTTCTAAACCATGACAAGGCAGGGCGATGCTGGTTTGATTCCAGACATGGAAGAGGTCAAGAACATATCTTTGAAGCACATTTGCTGACTAAACTGAGGGGATGGGCACGTACAGACAACATGTGGCAAACGGCAAGCCTTTGTGCGCTCCATCTTCAATGCAGTGAACATCAGCTCAGAAAACTTCAGGTCAGTTCAATGACCCTCAGCCAGAAATCCAAAAATCCCAAGAAACCTGCATGATGGATGATTGAAGAATTGGTTCAATGATTCCATTTCAGCAAACTGCAAACGACCCACTGGTCATGGCAACTGCCTCTAATAACATCCACTGTAAAGCATTATCCGATGACCCTAACATGGCTGGCAACCGAATAGCACCACTTTGTATGTACACACACAGCACAAAGGTCCCCATTATGGATGGTACCTGGGTACAGGAAACCCGGCTACCCAGGGCGGGTATTGGTTTTCTAGTACCCGCCTATCCGGGTACCCGCCAACCCATGTACCCAAGTAGGCGGGTGCGTACCCGGGTACAGGCGGGTACCGCCGGGTACGCGGTTCCACGTATGGACCCAGGTACTGCATGTTTGACCGGCGGTCGCAAGGTGCATTTCTTCACACCACGCTGGTTTCCGCAAAGGTCTCCCCAATCCACACTGTGTGGCTGCGTGCACGGCGCCGATGCTCTCCACACACTGTTCGGGCCGCGCATTGGGAGATCTGGGGGCGCCGGCGCGCCAGAATGGGGGAATATGACTGGTTGGAACATCGACGAGGTGCTACTTTGTCGATCTGGGTGCGCCGGCGAGAGCAGGAATCAGGGAATCCGACAGATTGGAACATCGACATGATGCTGCTTGGTCGATCTGGGGCTTTGCAAAATAGCTTTTCAATCGACCCGATCTCTACACACCGGCGGCAACCAGCTGTCTGCATAAAATGCAGCTGGGCTCCGACGGGTTGGTGCCTGGGATACCGGCTGTGTTGCAGCCCTGGCACCGGAGCTGCCCTTTGGGGATTGCAAGTCGTCCGTTTCACTGCGAAATGGTTGGTGCGTGCAGGACACGCCCAACAACTTGAGCTAGATGGATCGGCGATTGCTTTGGAGCACTGTTGTCGTTGCTGTCCGACGGCTGCATAGTTGCATGGTCGCTGTTGTGGTTGCTGTTCATTCTGGATCGTGAACGTGATCGTTGACCAAAGGGTGTCCAGCCCTTTCCAGATCGTTCCAGAAGAAACACACCGTTCATGGAATACAATGTCAGAAGGGGGGCGCCGTCGTCATCGCAGACTCCGCTAGGCAGCAGCCGGCCAAGCACGGCGGAGTGCTGCCAGCCGGCGTTGGTCAGCGCAGGGAAGCATCTCTCCGTACCCGGGTACATACCCGGACCTGAGTACAGGGTGTACCCGGGTACCCTGGTGCTGGGGGTGTACCTGGGTTACCCGTGTACACCCGGATACCCAAGTTTCAGTAACCTCAGGCACCCGGGTCCAGTTTTGCCAGCCTGGGTACCATCCCTGGTCGCCATGTAGCACACAACCCATGGAACAACCCCAAACATGGAACATAGGAAACTCCATCCCATTAAGGGAACAAGCACTATGGTGTCCATACCTCAGCAGGCAGGCATTCAAATATAGAGGCAGAAGGGCGTCCAGGATCTGAACGGGGTCCTGCTCGAAGATGAGGGATGCATCCAGGGGGGCTGCCTCTGTGGTGACCTTCTCACGCTCCACTTTGAATTCCCCACCCTCTGTGGTGAGCCGGAATATCTCATCATCTTGCGCATCAACGCAGGTGCCATCCAGGTCGCAAATCTCGCCCTGGGAAACAACAGCATAATTTAATTCAACAACAAAAAAGAAAAAAGGGGAGAACAAAAATCATAAGTGAATGGATGATCTGGAGTGAAGCAACAGCACAAGAAAAGAAATGGGGGGAGTGCGGGACATCGCCACATAATCACCACAATCACACCACAACACACTCTGACTTAAACAACATTAACCCAGAAACTGGATAGTGTAGTGAAACAGCACTCGCAGCTTGGAAAAATGCTGCATCGGTGGCATTGTGTCCCCACAAAAGCATGCTGTGCTTCACAAGAAAATCAAACACAGCTAGTTCCATTATATGCACAGAATGCTTATGCAATCTTCCCTCATGGCAATGTTTGCCACTCAAGGCAAATTCAGGCAACGTGCCTGATGAAACGGCCTACATCGCCAGGACACTGCGTTGTCACTGTTTGCCAAGAGCACTCAAAGGATTCACATCTATCTATTCATTGACTGTCCAGGGCATCTTGTGCAAACCAACCTGTGGGGTAAGTGGCAGCAGGGTCTGGATGGTGGGCTCTGCAGATATGAGGGACACAAAGCGTGTGTAGATGAGTTCCACCTTGTCAGACTCGCCCGACACAAATCCAGCAAAGATCTCATCGGCGATGCCCTGAGCCTCCTTCGTGGTGGGTGTGCCTCCCAGGGAAAAGTCATCTGAGCAAGAAAGGCCAGGCAAATGTAAGGCTAAGCTTCACCACTGGCACAAGCACAGCCTGCAATGCATACTTTCTACATCCTGCCGCAGGGAAACACTTATGAGGGGAACAGTTCGTACTGCTGTGGACAACTCATGACATCGACAGCCAGGCACATGGGCAGTGCTTTGTCATGCGGTGTACCACATAGGCATTGTGTGGTATGTTGTTCCGTATCCCAAGGAGATGTCGTCTGGAGAGGTAGAGATCAAGAACTCAGAGAAATTTGGACCTGAGGGAATGCTCTTCCAATCTTCTAGGGCTGTTGGTACCTTCTGCACTCAGGGCATCTTGCCATTGCACCCTTGTCAGTGCAGCCAAGGCGTCCTAACACCATTTAGGCATTGTCTACTGACAAATCTGAAGGCTAAGACCAAATCCAGCAGTTTGGGACACAACAATACAAACACATGACCATCCATCGTCTCCCGGATACCCTGGTGTGGTTTATTCATGTTGGTGAATGCAAGCAGGAAATTTTGGGATGGTACAATGCATCGGCCACTTACTAATTTTCTTGTATTGTGGTCTGCGGTTGAAGTACGAACTCCCCTTCACTCCAACGCAAATGAGGGACACATCAATTCCGAGCCCCTCCAGTTCCTTGTAACGATTCTCTGCCTGCCATGCACGCATGAAAACCAACGCATCAGGCTGTTCTCATACAACCAAAAGTAGTACTCAAAAGCCATGCTGCTGCTCCCTGGGACCCACCCAAACAAAGAGCTCGATCCTTCAAACACAATTCTGATGACATTCAAAAGTGGAGAGAAAACAGTTCATGGCGATCCACTTCAGCCAAATGCCAATGATGACCAGGTGACAAAGTGGTATGGTGGTGATAATGTGCTGGCCCCTGCCCTGAACGAACAAAATTATACAAAGCAGCAGGAAAGCCATGCCTGGAAACCATGCCAGATGCACATTAGTGTGGGTGGAGCACCCAGCCCACCTTCCTGATGACATAGTTGTTGTATCCACCGCACAGACCGCGATCGCCTGTGACCACCACCAGTGAGACTGCCTTCACAGGCCTCACGCTGGCCAATGGGGAGTCAACGTCCTCCACACGGAGCCTCTGGTTGACACCGTACAAGACCTGGACAGCGATTGGACAAACGCACTCTTACAGACGGCATCCAAAGTGACATACCAGGCATGGCACATGCTGGTAATTAACTCACATATTCAGAAACCACCATAGGTCTTGTTCGTCCAAGAGAACTTTACGAAGATCCCTCCCAAGTTCTGGAGACACAGAGCGCTGACTGTGCCATTCTGCACACTGGCTGTATCAACCAATGGAGATTCAGAAATACTGGTTCATTCCCGTCTGAAACAGGGTTTCCTAATGCGATACAAGCAGCAGAAGCGCAATGGATAAAAGACGTGACCTGGGAGCATCACCATAGGCGAGCGAAGCAAGGAAAGCCACAAGCTGGCCCTTCCACCCACAGCAGTGTTTGTCCCCGTATCCAGCCAGAACAACACCAGTTTCAAGCTATCCAAGCGCGGTGGAAGCACGCAAAATAGCAGCGAGCGGCGAGACACATCAATCAGATGATGCTCAATCCTCTGGGTGTCTCAGCAGCCAACTCCATCGGCGGCACTGGGGCCGATTGCCCGCCCATGAAGGAAAGCAGAGAAGGAATCGTTGGCGGAGAGGGCACGGGCGGGCCGCGGCGGCGCACCTTGACGAGATTTTCCGAGAAGGGCCTCCCGTTGACGACGGCCTCCTGCGCGCGGCGCACCTTGGCGGCGGCCACGAGCTTCATCGCGTCCGTGATCTTCTGCGTGTTCTTCACGGAGTCGATGCGCGTGCGCACCTCCCTCAACCCTGCTGCGAGGACCTACGACCCGTGCCAAAAACCAATCACCCACACGCGGGCAGGGGCGGGCGGGGCTGGTCGGGTGCGGCGCGCACCCATTCCAATTCCCTGAACGAAAGTTCGTCATCTTCACAGAAAGGACAACAAGTCATCCCACGGACAGGCCCCCTGGCGAACAAGCGAGGCCATTCGCCACAATCTCTTCATTTCAGCCGCTGATGGCCAAGAGGCGTCCGAGCAACGGGATGGCGGGCAAGGACCACGCCTCCATCCGCCCTGCGCACCCCCTCGCACGAGCATTGCAACTATTGATCACCCCAGCGCCGGGCGGGAATGAGATGCGTCGCGTGGAGCTCAGCCTCAGCGTTCCCCTCGGGGAGCCGCACCTGCAGATTGCCGCGGCTGGTCCCTGCCTGCGGCCGCTTCTGCGCGGACAGGGCATTCGCGTCGCCGACGAAGCTTGACGCCCTGAGGCCGGCCTGCGCGGGCGCCGCCATGGCTCACGACGGGCAGAGCGGGTAAAGGGGGTGGAGGGAGGAGGCCTGCGGGGGGGGGGCAGGCGAGGGGTAGGGCAGCCGGAGGTTGAGGGAGGGCACAAAAGGCGAGGGGGAGTGCGCCAGGCGTGGCCCTCCACACAACACCCCGGCTCCACACATCGGCAGGAGATGGCAAGATGGGCTGGCGGCGGAACAGTACTTTGGGCCCGTACATCGGGTTTGGGGGGCCAGGCGCCGGGCCTGTGCGTTGCGCGTTTCTTCCCAGGGCTTGGCGCGGGAGCGAGGGCGCGCCCCACGCTGGCCGGCCCCTCTGGGCCTGTGACTGCCTCCCTGCGGGCGGCTTCGCTTTTTGCACAGCCCCTGCGCGTCGGAAGTGCAGTTGCGGCATTGTTCGCTTGTGTGGGTTCGCGCGGCTGCTGCGGCAGGGAGGACCGCCGCGTGTCAAGGCCGTTCGGCCGGCGGCCTTGGAGCGCCGGTCGCCCCTCCTTTGCATCTCCTTGGCGCGTGTGGCCCGAATCGGCTGGTGGGGCTCAGATGGGCAGCGAGAACCAGTTTTTGCGAATTCCTTGGCGAATGATAACAACGGGAACGCGAGGGCATGAGATTAGTCGCTGTGTCTTTTCGTGTGGAGTCCATCTTGTTTCCGGACAACCCCAAACCTAAACACCACTGAGCCACCGGCGCTGGCCTTGTCAGCGGAAGAAGAAGGGATCCGCTCGGAAAAGACAGAGAGAGCAATATATTCTGGAGTGCGAGGAGGGCAGCAAGCGCGGCGCACCTGCGCGGTGCTGTTCTCGTTTTGGGTCGGCGAAGTATTCCGCCATGTTTGATGCGCCTGCTTGGTGCGCTGTTGCTCTGTTTGGGCTCGCGTAATGTTGTGCAGCGTTTGAGAGTCGGAGCACCGCTCCCTTGCCGACAGAAGTGATGTGGACCCTGTGATGTGCACCATCGCGAGGAGCGCAAGGCGATGCGTAGCCCACAAGATTGAAGATGTGAAAATGAATGCGCGATCTCAAAGTGAGGGGTGCGGCTCCTTGAGGCCTCCAGCAGATCAGAAATCATGTCAATTAGATTAGTTCATTCATTCTTGCGATAATCATCATTTTTGGTGCTGGTGTTGGTGTTGGTGGTCAATATGCATTGGGTGCCAATGCTAAAGAATGTTGTGTCTCCTTCCTGTGCAACAAGGTCCGATGGTAGCCACAAATTGGATGAACTTCCCCTGAGTATGGCTTGTGTTGCCAGGCGTCACAGATTGCCCTGGAAAACAGGGAAAGAAAATGCATGAGAGCAGCAAACCCAAGTTGCCTTGCACACTTGCATGTAGGGGATGCCTCTGCACAGAATGCCAATTACAGGGAGTCATGCAACACCTGGCTAATGGCCCATAAGCCACAATCTGTGGACAACAGGGGCAAAATCCAAGAGCGTCAATTTGCACATGTGGTGAAACCCACATTGTTGCTAGCCATATCCATTCAAGTGTAGCCAAGAGCACATCTGGATTGCCATGGGACATTTCAGCAACACCAAGAGCATTAGCATTGTGGTGGATGTGGTTGGGTTGATCAAGAACGGTGCCATAGTGCAGAGCAGGATATTGTCAGGTCATAGGCAGCTTTGCAACGCAGTGGAAGCAATGAATGACTGGGTTGGGACTGGGACCTGGCTGCAAATTCCCGGAGCTGTCAAAACTGTGAGGTTGTGTGGTGGCAAATATGCCCAGGTTCCTGAGGGCATCATTGATGCTGAACTGTGGGTCCTTTTTGTTGCCTGTGCGAAGTCAAAGAGTTTTGTGTCCCATAGGGCACAATGGGCAAGAGCTTAGGCAAGCTTGGGCATGTGTTGTTAGCGGTGCCTGTCCTCCTGATGCTTTGAGTTCTCCAATGCACACCCACAAACTGAAATCTCATTTCAGCATCCAACTAATGCCCGTGTTGTTCATGCCGAATGTACTTGTGCAAGGAAATATTGGCAGCCACAATGCCAGTCCAGAATTCCCTTTGAAACTTTTGCTGGACAACCACAGGATGTGCCGTTGTGAAGCATGCAAAGCGGCACTAAGCAAATGCCTTCTTTCGGTTCTGCATTTGTATTTCGATCCTTTTCAAGCAATGTGGAATTCAGGTGCCCTCCCATCGCCAATGCAGGGTGTGCAGTTCTCGTCCTTGCTTGGGCACCTCCACACCCAGCAGCAGAATTCCCCGCTCCAAGGCCCTACCTATAGTCACATTCTCTAATGTCATATCAGGGACAGGCTGGCAGGTACGCAGCTTGTGGAGCCAGTGGAATGCTGAATTGACCCACAGGGTGGCAGCATCGACGAGCAAGCCTTGCAGGGGCAGGGAGTGGGTGCCGGTCACGCCCTGTGCTGCTGGCTTTGTGGGACTGGGGCATTCGGATCAGGCTTTTGGTCTAAGCGGTCACCTTGAATTTGTGGATGTGGCAGTTGCTTCATCAAGCACTGCAACAGGTACTTTCTGTGATAGTGGACTCTCTTGGTGCAACACATTGCTGCTGTTATTGGTAGGTGTAGTTTTCTTACCGAAATTGAAGTTCACTGTCAATATTTGCACATGCTTGCTGCACATGCTTGTCCCAATCGGACAGCACCAGCGCCTAGCAGCAGTCGGTTGACTGTTGATGCTGGCATACATTGACTGCCTGGATGCGATGGCACTGTCTGCTCCTAGACAATTGCTGGACTAACAAAACAGGACTCACACAGATTGGGTGTCACTCTTTCTGTATCAAGGAAGTCCGCAAAGCCAATCTTGTAAATCAGGCAATGTCCTGTCATAGGGCGTTCTGACGTTGGAGTATGCCTTTTAGCCGTTGTCATCTGCGGAGGTTGTGAGGCCGTGGCTGCTGGGCTGAATCCTGCTTTGGCTGCATTTATCAAATAGACAACACGTTTCCAATGCGACAACAAGATGATGAGAAGCTGTTTTGAGCCCGGCAACAGTGTATGATCCCAGAATACACGCAATTGTGTCCTAGACGGCCTCATATGGCAACGACTGTAACACTTGCAGGGCTGCAAAATTTTGTGGCAACATTGTTGGCACCAAGAGGAGCAGCCAATTCTGAGGAAAGTAGGTCACAGACCTATTTTCAAAGTGGACGAATCCTTGGAAAAAGCGATGCCATCCGCACGCAGGAAGACAATTAGTGCTGAGTATTGCTGTACTGAGAATACCCCACAAAAGTGCTGATGTGAAGAGAGTTTCGGAGCCAGGTTTCGATCCTGGGACCTGTGGGTTATGGGCCCACCACGCTTCCACTGCGCCACTCCGAACTGATTCAATTCCACTTAACATAATACATATATGCAAAAATTATTGGTCTGCTTCAAAAGCCGCCATTGTCAGTGGCACTGACGAAGGCAGGCAGCTTCGAGGGGTATCGAACCCTGAACGGGGATCGTACGCTCGATTACACGGCATCGGTTTACAGCCGAGGCAAAGGGATAACAGGAGTTCTGTCCATTAAACCCAGTCAATTCATCAACGTCATTCATTCAAATCCTAGTGTCTCATTATCTCTTCCTGCGTTCAACTGTCAACAATACTCAATCAGTTCTAGTTACAACGGTATGAAAATTTAAATTGAACAGTGGCATGGCTCACCCAGCGTTCCATGCAAGCTACAGCAAGAAACCGAATCAACCGCGCTGATCTCCACGGAATACCGAAACGCGCACGTCGCGGGCCATCCAAACTCTGCATGTCTGAGGGTCAGCGTTGGCCAACCGCAGTGCTTCCCCACTCTTCCTCAGCAATCGGGCGCGTGGAAAGCCACCACGACGCAACCCAGATCCAGGCCCCAGCAAAGTACTGCAGAGCGGGCCTGTGCGCGACATCCAGGCGGGGAACACACCCACTGCGACGGCTGCCATGCCCCCGGGCCTCCTGCTGGAGCCCCCTGCCAGGTCTGGGCCCGCGGCTTCGCCTCTCGACGCGCCCGCATTCTGCTCGGGTTTCTGACCCCCCGCCGGGCCGTCGACCCATGAAAGTTGTTAGCCTCTTCACGGGAGCCGGAGGCCTGGACTTGGGTCTGCACCAGGTAAGGGCGACCGGCGACTGGGGCCAATGGGGGCTCGCTGGATTGCTCGCGGCGTGTTTGCTTCCACGGGGCGAAGAACAGGGGCTGACATGGGCCTGGACACGCCAGGCGCCGCGTCAGGATGAGGGGGCTGCCCCCCGTGCTTTCCCCGGCTGATGCAGGTCAGCGCTGCGCCGGGGTTGCTGATGGGATTTGTGACTGGGTCGGTGGCATGGTGGCCAGTGTGGCGTGCGAATTGGGGACGGGGCCTGCCGTTGCGGTGTCTCCGCGGGGATTTTGGAGAGGCGTGGTCTCACGGCGGCGGCCGCACCGACCACTGCCGCCGCCTGCCTGCTCCAGACGCCGGGCTTTGGGGCGCCCCTGGCGGGCGCCACGCTGGAACCTGCTCTGCCCGGCTGGGGAGACTCAATCCAGCAACCAGGGCGGTCGTGATTTTCTCGACCGCTTGTTTGATTGGGCCTCGCGGTGTCGGTCGCCGCCCAGCGATCCTGCACTGAAGCTCCCGTTCGCAGCCAGTCGGCCCCGCGGCCGTTCGTGGGGCCCCTTCCGATTTCTCCCTCGACGGCATCCACCCCGCCCCGACCGCCTCCGTCGATGCGCGAATCGCGGGGAAGGCGGTTTGCCCCAGACTGGGCAGCGCGGCCCAGCACCTGCCGCCGACATCCCATGCACCATCCGCGGCTTGCCTATCCCGGCCGGCCCTGACCCCAGAGCTTGTGGCTTCCGTCGTGCACTCCGACCACTCCCATCGACGCACGATTCACCCGAGCGCCCATCTGCCCCGCGCTTGGCAACACAGCTCAAGCCCTGCCCCCATCTGCGTAATCTCGGGCCGGCGCCGCGCAGCGGTCGTCCCCAATGCCAAACCCCGCTACTGCAATCTTACCACGCGCGAGCTGGCGCCAGCCTCGCGCATCCTTCCGCCGCCCCATGTATTGGTCGGGCGCCCCACGTCCTGCGGGTCTGCCCCTGCGCTCGGCCAACGCGTGTCGCGGTCTGCTTTCCTGTTCGTTCGCTTAAGGCCCCGGTTGCGGGGGCAGCCAACTGTAAACACCTTGTGTGCGCGTCGGACAGGCTGGGCACGAGGTCATACTTCAGTGCGAGCAGGATCCCGGAGCGCAACAGGCAAGGGCACAGGCGACAAGCAAGGGTCGGAAGTGCCCCTGTCCGGAGGGGCGTTTGCGTGACTGTCGCGGGAATTCACATAGCAACTGTGACTCGTGCTGTGGTGGCTGGTACTTAACGAGAACGGGGAGAAACATTGGTTTTCTGTTGGCGGCAAGCTGCGGAATGCGGCAGCAACCTGCTGTTGTCCAGTTGGAATTTGGGCCATGGTTCAGAGGGCTTGCTTGGAGGCAATGAAAATTGTGCAAAGTGCCAGTAGACTTGGAAATGCTTTTACCTTGACAGCAGCAGGTTGACCGTGGCACAGAGGGTGCGGAAATTGCATGTATGGCATAGCTGTTTGCCATCCAATGCAGCTCTGCATTGCTGTCTGTGGAGTCCATTGTGGGGAACGTGCTGGTCACTTCACAGTGGAGTCTCGGGTCTAATTGCTGAGAGCTCTGCGAGGCTTTATTTTCAATGTTTGCATCAAGTATTGGTATGCATTAGAATGTTGTCATGGCATCAACAAACTGGTGCATTGCACTTGGAAGCCCTTACACTTACATTGTTTGTCTGATTCTGTTGTACGAACCTCCAACTCCTCAAAGAATTTTGCATCCAGTTAAATTGCTTTTGTGGAGGGCAGGGCACATAAGTTATCAGCATGCAGAAAATATCCAAAGTTCAGAAGAAAAATGGTATGTGGGAGTAGATTTGCAGCTTGAGCATGGTTCCAAATTGACAACGAAATTTTCTTTCAGCTATATTTTATGTATTTAAAGACTGTGTGGAACTTTTGCAAGCAATAGTTCTGTGAAGTCTAGCAGCAATCCTTCCTTTCACAGAATTGAGCAACAGGTGGCCCTGTGGCTGAAAATTTGTGAGTTTCACACATTGTTGCAGTGTCAAACATAACTTCTATTTGCCACAGTGGCAACAGAGGTTGCACATCAAGTTTTCCTATAAACCACCAGTGAGGGCGCAGCCAATGTTGCCAGAAACTCCAGCATGTGACCTCATGCATGAGCTGTACATCCTTTTCTTGTCGATTCTGTAATGGGTGCAATTTGCAAAAGTGTTATCATGTGGCCATGTGTCAGTACCACTGACGACAGTATGATGGGTTTCTGCTGGTACAGGTTTTGCGGGAGCATTTCCCTGGGACACTTTTAGTTCCTGATGTTTGTGGCCTCCAGTCTCTTCCAGAGGTGATGAGGAAGTCCTTCATTCCACCACTTTGTAAATGACCATATAAGTATTATTTGTTGCATTAAAATGAGTCTGCTGCACTCATGGAATTTTCTAAAAGACAGTTCTTTTGGACCACATGCACAGCTAAAATATGTTTCATGGATTTTCATGTTTATGTGATGCACTGTATGCAATCTTTGTCCTCCAGCAATTGTATTGACCACAAAACTTTTGGTGAAGTGAACTCTTCTGGGAAATGTGGTGCTATGGACCACCTGAATTTGCACTACAGCATCTGTGGATTGGGTGCTTTCAAGTGCATAGATAAAGGTCACCTAAGCAGTGTTTTACAGCAGCGGCTGCTGGATTGCCACATAATGGCAGCGCTCATACAGCACATTGCTCCTAGAGTTCAGTGTTTTCAGAATTTAGGATAAAAACATGAGATCCACAATAGCTAACTGA